ACAACTACACAATTTACTTCCAAATGACAGTGAAACGCCAAATTGTAAAAAATGTGATTCTGAAACAAACATTGTGATCAGAAAAAACGACTGGCTTTTGGTGAACAAAATACTTTTTTACAATTTTTAAATGATACTAAAAMTGTTYACTGTAATTGAAATTAYTATTDTATTTGGTTAATTATTTTTAATTTTTATATTTGACAAATATTTGTATGATACGAGTATGCGATTCGTAGTGAAAAATATAATGTGTTTTTATACTATTAAAACGTATAGATCACTCGTCCTGAATTCGCAGATCACTCACCCCTGTAGATCACCTGCCACACGAATGCTGAAATACCATGATTTTTGAAATTATTTTGTAATAACATGATTTATTATTCATTAGGGGGATGCCTAAAATAAAATTTATTTTTAAATTAATTAATAAAAGATAATTAAAACAAAAATTACACAAAAAATTAAATAAAAATTAAATAAAAAATTAATTCCACTTGAAAAAAATATTGTATATACCAATTCAAATGAATGACTTTAAGTATTTTGGTCATTAAGTTAAGCGAATATTTGTGTAGCCTTAAATAGGAAATGATAAACATTTTAATTTATAATAATATACTATCACTTGAATATCGCTATAGCAATATGTATATAATATAAAAATGTACATCTCATTAGTCGGTAATAAATTTACACATTCATATTTTTACGCAATCAACTAAGGATCTAAATTACATTTTTAGAGTACTCTGATATATATTTGATTACTTAAGTTATATATTTTTTAAACTTRAAGTTATTTTCATGATAGTAAAACCTTTTTGAGTTGATAAAAAACACATTCCATTACAATAATTAAATACTTTATAACACGAATCAACAACTACATTACCACTATTTTATATTACTTATTTATTTTGAAGTTATAATTTCATTCTAAAGTAGGAATATTTATTAATCTTTAAAATATCGCTAAAAAACATAGGTAAGTACTCATTGGAAAATTGTTARACAATTTAACGTATATATGTACACCATAATAGGTAATTACAACGAGTATGAAACGCAATGTATTGAAGAGTTTTTAAAATTAAAAATATAAAGAAAAAAATCCAACTACGTATTTAAATTTAACCGTGCATGCAGTG